TTACCTATTAAAATTGGTATTATAGAAATGCATTTTGTTGATGTAGAAAGTACTTCTAATATATTAGTCTTCATTTTTATGTACTTTAAAATATATAAAAATATATAAACTTATATATAAGTATATATTACATATAAAATACATAAACATAGAGCTATTTTATATATAGTGTAATACACACATAAACTATACTTACATATTGTGTGTATATACATAGATATTTACGTGTAAATATATAAAGTTTGCCTGGCTAGAGCTGGCTAGATTTGTGTTTATGGCTTTGTCCTTTTTTATTCTTTTTGTTTATCTATATTTTCTAATTTTTGCTATGAGCATATATTGCTTGAAGAACAAAAACCAAATTTTGGGTTTTCTTTTCACCTGCTGTGTTCCCAAGGATACAAGACTTGTACACAGACAAAGAAAGGGTTATAAAACTTCCACATTATATCCATCTCATGTGGAAGACAACTAAATTACCCAACATTTCCTGTGTACTGTAGAGAAATTGCAAGAGCAGACCAATTAACAATCGTTAATTACATTCTAGGTCTGACAGCTACTGACTGAAAGAATGTTTAATCATAAAACCAGCATGGTGCCATTGAACAGTCAGGGATGGAGCAGAGAGACCTGGGATTTGGCTCAAGATTCACATAACTAGCTACAACTGTGAATGTGAACATGGGAAAATTCACTTTGCCTCAGTGTCCTCCTAAAATAAGAGGGTGGACAAGGTCATGACTGATGTATCTTTCAGTTCTGAAACTGAATGGCCAACGAAGCCCGGATGAGAATCTGGAACAGTATAGAAAAGGAAAGCTGAGTCAATGGGCAGACCAAGGCACTATTCAGGACTGGGTTATCAAACAGTATAGTTCATACTGCCAAGGGCCAAGTGATCATTGCATTGGCAGGAAATTACACTTATAGCCCCCAAATTCTTCTTGCCTGGCAAATCATACACCTAGGAGTTACAGTTAGGACTCCTGCTGATCTACAGGGAGTGGTCTATGTCAAGACACAGATGGTAGTGGATGTTGAATTAAAGACCCTTTAGTGATATCCAAGGGACATGACGCAGGACAGGGTTTTATAATCCTATGAACTCTGTAGAGCAATGAATTAAACCCACCTGATTTTCTGCTGAAGTTTCTCTTAGAGCAACAATTCATGAAACTCTAGCAAGTTAAAAAGTTTCAACGTATTTTCCTACCAAATTCCAACTTTGTAGTTAATGAAAAAGTCACATTAACATTAAAAACAGAAAGGTCAACATATTGAAGTAATCTTTTTTGGTAGCAGCTTCAGCTCTTAAAAATCTTCTTCAGAAAGGGAGCCAGTAATTTGGATTTTGAATGCACATTGGAAATCGTTAGGAAAGAACAATTAGTGGGTGAATAGGATTTTGCAACGACTGTCACTTCCGTGGAGTCTTCCATAAGGAAATTCTGGAGCTGTCTCTATGGGTAATCAATATACACAAATGCTGAAATCATTCTGGGGTTATTATAATGAGATCACACAGTGGTGGCAGCCCTTACTTACTGGGAAAATTAAGTACAACTCTTGGGCATATAAATTATGCCACCAGTAATTATAGTGCACTGGTCTTGGCTGGACAGAAGACTGAGGAATAGCTTTGTAACTCTGGGTTCTTCCCCACACAAAGTTCACAGGAAGAGAGAGCTGCTTTGTAGAATGGTAAAGCCCTGAAACAGGCTGTAGAATAATATGTCAAGCAATTGCTAGAAAGTCAGTGGTGGTCCATTTTCAAGGCAGAGCATTTAACTTTGGCTCCGTGCCTCACCTTGCGGATGCTGGGAGAGGGCCAACTGATAAGGAACTTCAGCTGGGAAGGGCAAATCACCACAGAATAAGGAAATGCGTAAAAACTATGTATGTGCCAGAAAGCATATACCCTGCCACAAAGGGAGCCAAATACCACCCCAAGTTCACTTCTAGAATTTGACCAATCCCAAAAAAGGCACCCTTCAAAATAATCCAATAGGAAATTTAGGTGACATATGAGAAGGATGTACACTCCGCAGTACTGAGACAATGAGGAACTGGGGGAGGGGACTTGTGTGCTATCATACAATGCTTGTTGTAACCACTTTGGGTATCTCTGCTCACCAGACACCTAATCTTGCAAGATCCACTGTACTCTACGTGTCTCTGAGCCCAGTCTTTGAGTTTGGACAGATGAGTGTATTTCTCACAGCAATGAACCAGAAAGGTGACTGCTGAGAGGCAGAAGAGACCAGTCACAGAAGCACATACCAACTCCTCACATCACCTTAAGCTGATCTGGAAGGACCAGAAGCCTAGAGGCCTGGAAAGAGAGACTGGGGCTCTGAGGACTCTGCTCCTCTCAGGATCAAAAGCACCTGATGCATAAGTGCTGGAATCAGGGAGGTGAGTGAGGACGGAGACAAAGGTGTCCTTTCTCTTCCCTCACCAAGCCAAGTAGTATAGTTGCTCTCCAGGATTTTTCTTTTCTTTCTCCATGATTTTCAATGTCCTTCACTTGCTGACCAGGGTCTGTTTTAACACTATTCCCGACTGTGCCAACCAAATGAGACTCTGTCCCACCACGATGGCCCACATGGCATTTCACCGTCCAGTTCCTCCTTGTAGTGAGTGCACCTGCACAGACGGCTGGAGCCGGTACAGTGGAAAATCCATTTTCTTCATAGTGCTGGCTTTGCCTCCGCCTTTCTCCTCCATCCCCTTCCTCCCACTCAGTCCCTATGCTTGGTCTGGGTGGTTTGCCCAAAGCCCCAAACCCTAAGCCATTCTTTGTTTCACAGGAATGTGTAAATGATGAGTGGAGACTTTATTTCTCATGGAGCTGTTTGCATCATAACCAGACTACTTTAAAAGGAATATAACTACAATGCTAAGATTTCCAAATCCCTCCTACCAAATCCTTGAGGGAGCACAATTGGATCGCCCGAGCTTTCCAGCAACCTGACATCACACCCAGGTATTCTCCTCTATTAGCACAGAAGGCCTACCTAAAATTCTGTATTTAGTTAGGCAGTCAGCAGTCTAACAGAACTGTACAGTACTTATGCACACTGGGCTGTAAATGACTATTTACTTGTACCTCATGAGACTCTGAGTTTCTCAAGAGCAGAGACCAGATCTAATTGTCTTGGTACCTTTAGATTCTAGCACAGCTTTTCTTACCAAGGGACCAATTTAAAAACTGAATAAAGTCAGCTGAATGAGCTCCTGATGGCTAAAGCTGAAATAATTTGAGCAAAAATTCAAGTAGAGTACAAAATAAATATCCAGGAGTCTGTACTGACATAAATAATTGAACAGAGGGAGAGAAAACCACATCTGCTTTGCAGAAGAATTCCCTACCCATAGCATAGATTTTCTATCCTAAAAGAGGGGAAGAAAGATATCCCATTCCTTAAAGAAGGACTAGGCTTAGTGACTTTCTTCCCAAGAGTACCATTTTGCAAGTGAGAAGAGAAAAGTGACTCTAGAGGACAGAAACCAGAAACACAACTTCAGGCAGGTTATTTGGACTTCACCTGTCATAAATCATGTTGAAAATATGTACCCATGACAAGATGAGATGAAAATGACACTTCGTCTCTGTGATCTTCCTTTTTTTTTTTTTTTTCATTTTTCTTTTATTATTCATATGTGCATACAAGGCTTGGTTTATTTCTCCCCCCTGCCCCCACCCCCTCCCTTACCACCCACTCCACCCCCTCCTGCTCCCCCCCTCAATACCCAGCAGAAACTATTTTGCCCTTATCTCTAATTTTGTTGTAGAGAGAGTATAAGCAATAATAGGAAGGAACAAGGGGTTTTGCTGGTTGAGATAAGGATAGCTATACAGGGCATTGACTCACATTGATTTCCTGTGCATGGGTGTTACCTTCTAGGTTAATTCTTTTTAATCTAACCTTTTCTCTAGTTCCTGGTCCCCTTCGTCTCTGTGATCTTCCTTATTAAAAACCCATCACCCCTGTCTAACCACAAGAACACCACCAGACAAAATCCACCAGAGGAGCGTTCCACGAGACACCTGGGCAGCATCCCTCAGAATTGCCCAGGTCCTTCCTAATAAAGCAATCTGGGAAAGTGTCCCAGTCAAGAGGAGCCTAAAAGAATATGAGAACCAAGTGTCGTATGGTGTACTGGCAGGATCCTGGAAAAGAAAGAACACTGGAAAAAGCTAAGGCAATGTGCATAAACTATGGGCCTTCTTTTATAATAGCGTGTCAATGCAGATTCATTAATTGCAACAAAGGTACCATGCTAAGATATTAACAATAGTGGAAACTATGTCACCCTGTGGCGGTATATTTGAGGTCTCTGGGCTACCTGTCCAACTTTTCTGTAAATCTAAAACTGTTCTGAAAAGGAAGCCAATTAAGTGTTCAGTACCCTTGCTTTTCCTACAATTATTTAAATAGCCACAGGTAAACAAGTTTTTTTTTTAAAGACTGGCCATGTTGAATTAGCAATTCTTGTGAGAAATCCAGGAGCAGGACTGTTTACCAAAATTTCAGGAAGAACACAGCACACAGATTATCATCAGGGGCACTTATTAAGACATACCAAGTACATTTAGTACACCCAAACACCCCACAAGTTCTCCTTCATTTCCCAGCTTCCCTTGCACTTAGGTGGGGCTCATGTGACTAGTTCTAGCCAACCAATGGAGTGTGAGCAGAAGTGACATGTACTACTTCTGGCCTGAGGAAGTTAAACTCAAGTGTTTAACTTGAGTTCCTTCCTCAGGGTGTCACTACTGACAGGAGGTCACATGATCCACACAGGATCAGAATGAGACAGTTTATCATGTTAAGCCATTACGACTTCGGGGTCATGTGTGGAAATGGTTAAAGTTCATTGCCCTAAACTGCCAAGTGATTTCATTCAGTAAGTACATGTTCCCTCCCTTCTGACAGGAAGCTCTGACTCAAGTTTTTCTGTATTTTTTACGTCACAAGAGTACTGGCACTTACCACAGGCAATGGTCCAATAAACCAGAGAGTCTGGAGTCTGGTACAGGATGCGGTAAGGAGCCACCCGGGCACTGGAGTCCAATACCACATCAAGGGTCCCCACGAGGAGGCCTAAGGATAGAGAGATGAGGAAAGAGGTGAGAATTTCCCAGGGTATTTTCCCAAATTCTCAGAGGCAGTGTGATTGTTCCCCTTCCTCTGGATCTCCCAACAGCCTCACCTCACACTGTACCCAGACTTGACACCACCTTCATTTTAGACAAGATGGCGCTGAAGTCCAGTGGTTCACACCTGTAATCCTAGCTACTCAGAAGGTAGGGATAAGGAGGATCATGGTTTGAAGCCAGCCCAGGCAAATAGTTTGCAAGATCTCTCTCAAAAAAAACCCAACACAAAGAAGGGCTGGCAGAGTGGCTCAAGTGGTAGAGCACCTGCCTAGAAGCATGAGGTCCTGAGTTCAAACCCCAGTGTCACCAAAACATAGATTAGATGGTGCTAGCTCTATATTACTTATTTTAACAATGTCCAAGAGGAAACTGCACAAGGTGAAAAACTGTTTGAGAGTTTAATGTAAGGAGAATAAGTCACCGCAAAGTCCCTGTGCATGGTGGCATTTATAAATTCCCATTAATAAAAATAATACAGTACTGAGTACATAAATGCTGGGGTCTCACTTCATCCACTACATGCCTGATAATGTATTTTTTCCCATTTTTGGCTATGAAATAAATTCTTAATTTGAATTACAAGAACTCATAGGAACTTGGCATGAAAATCTGATTCAGTGTGCCAGGCTGCCCCACCTATTATTTTAATCTGCCAGCGTTCCTTTTGTACTGAAAAAGATTAGAGAACCTCAGCTCAGTAAACATTTACTTTCTACTACGTACAAGATGAACCCTGTGGGCCCAGAGCGGAACAAAGACAGAGTCCCCAGGCCATGTGCAGTCTAGGGACCAGAAGGTCACACAGTATTTTAATGCCATGTTTAGGAGTGAGTGAGGAATGAGAAACAGAGATTTTCTCATTTCAACAGTAGTTCTTCACCATTTCTGACACCATCACTACCACCTGAGATAACTGGAGCCTGCTTGTACTCCAAAATGACACAGTAGTAAGGCTGAGGGTGAGGACATGTGTTTGGGTAGGCAGAGCTTTGCATGGTGTGGGGAAGATCAGTGGTTCACTTACCCGAGGGTGACCAGGTCCTCACAGACACCTGCTCACATCGACTGAGTTCAGAGAAGCCTGACCATTCAACAACGGCATCTCACCATGTCTTTGTAAGAAACACAAAGCCCCATGCTCCCTCAAGAAGAGGCAGTGTCTTCTCCCTCCCAGAGGGAAGGTGACAAGAAGGAAATTAAGACCAAGAGGCAGCTTGGTGCCCAAAGCTGGAAGGTGCCTGTAAGGAGAAGGCTACAAGACCATGGCTGAGGATCCCAACCAGTGCAGGAGAGGCACACCTAGTTTCTCACACAGCAGCCCCCGTCAGTATACTGAGCCATGATCAGACACAGTGATGACAACAAACGGATCCTGATAGCTTCAAACTGGGAGCCTGTGGTGAGTGCAGACTTCAGCTGGGACCACCGTTCACCCAATGTCTCCATTCCAAGGAGGTGGGCCTCCTTCACCCACACCGAGCCAGCTCTAGACGCTGGAATCACACACACACACACACACACACACACACACACACACACAACTACGTTTAATAAACTAGATCCCTTCATTTTCAGAATAAATTCAAAGGATTCCTGTTGTGTTCTGGATAAGTATCCCCCAAAGGTCCATTAACAACTAGCCTGTACGTTCACCCATCTTAATCTATTTTCTGTTGTTATAACAAAGTACCAGAGACTGGATAGTTTACAAAGAATAAAGGTTGCCATGAATTGGATAAGTGACTTGTAAAGGCCCAGGTGTGAAAGTCTTAGTCATAGAAGTGGTGGAACCTCTAGAAGGTGAGGCTTACTAGGAGGTCTTTAGGTCACAGAGGACATGCCCTCGAAGGGGATTATGGGACCCTAGTCCCTTCTTTTCTCTTTTTTGCTTCCCAGCCATAAGCCCAGCCGTCTGCTTCACCAGATAACCCCACCAGTGCTATGAGGCACACTCACCAGGAACCCAAAGCAATGGGTCTGGCTGAGCATGGACTCATGCTTTTCCTTTATATGTTCATTATCTCAGGTATTTCACTACAGTAACTCGAAGCTGACTAAAGCAATCCCATCACTGAAGTGCCCATAATGATCCTCCACACAGGACGGTCTCTGAAGACTGAGAAAATAGGACTTAGAGCATTAGGCTATTGGCGGGGCAGGTTTATGGGGATGGCTTTGGGTCACAATGATGCTGAGAGGTGGAGACTAAAGGCCCACTACTGACAGCTACTGTCAGCTGGCCCCAGGCTGGCCTCAAACTCATGAGACTCCTGCCTCCACCTTCCAAGTGCTGGGATTACAGGAGTGTACACCTCACCCAGCTACCCATCAGCATCTCATGATGTATTGTTTTGCAATAATATACTGAACTTTATGCATATCAAGGCGTTACCATACTAAGTAAGTAACACCTGGATCTACACAATATTATTGAAATTCACTTCCTTCAGCTATGGCAGCCTCGGGTAATAGAAGAACTATGGGATAATGGACTTGTGTTCAGAAAAGCTCAGCTCCAGGTCTGGCTCTGTTATGACCACTTTTGTGGAGTGGACAGGCCATTTCATTTCTCCTTGCTTTGATTTCCTCAATGGCAAGGTGATTATAATAACACTTGCCCCCCTGAACTGAGAGTGTTCATCTAGAGGCCCAAGTGAGGTAGACCAGGGAGAGTGCGATGATTGTCCTGGGTCTTTATCCAGGGACAACACATTCATTTCGATTCCTTCCAAACCACAGTGGCTATTAACTGACTTGCACACTCCAGAAAAAAACGAGTTTTTGCTAAAGTGGAAATGATTTCATTTTCTCTGGCCTGTGTATAACACATTGAGAGTAAAAGTGTCGGCAACTGGGGAGTTTTCCAGGGGGTTGTGTTTCCACATAATGGCACAAAGCTGGGTATTTTTGTGTTTTATTGTGACTCAGATTTTCTACAAAGATCTCTAATGGCTTAGTGTTGTGTATGGACGAAGGGTGCATTAATAGGAAAAGCAGAAAACAGTGCTGTCTGAAACAAATTGAGTTCCCTCCTATGTTAGTGAAAAATCAAATGCATGTTAAGGACAAACGTTAGCAATAAATACAGAAGCGTCCCTCGTCATAAGTGAGTGTTAGCAATACTTCCTTCTTCTTGGGTCGAGGGAAATAAAATGCTTAAACTACTGCACATATCAACCTACGTCGATTCTCAGGCAGCCTTCAATCTAGGTTAGGGCTGAACCATGGATTGGCCCATGTGGTTTAAAAATAAGCCAGTAAGAGTGTCTTCATAGACAGAGGCTCTTCCAAGGACAAGCAAATTTCACTGGCAGCCCTGGATCTACTATCGCTCACCTCTGAGACCCAGCCTCCAAGATCCTCAGTTTCTCCATCCTTACTGGCTTGCTAAGATCCTGTATTCTCTAACACAAAAGAAGGAAGACCTCTGAAATGGTCTTTCCCAATCCACATAGCTTGATCACCACAAATGGCCCCCAATTAAAATCCATCTCCAACATCCATTATTCTAATGAGCCAAACCTCTGGTGTCAGAGATAAAAGAAAACTGAGTGTCTTAATATAGACCCCCGGAGGAAGTGCTTCTGATTAAAGATGCCAGCTCACCAAGCCTGACTTGCATCCATGGCTAGCACAGCAACTTCCACTAAGATTTAGATGAAAACTACACACATATTTTTTCCCCACAGGGTCTATGTTGAAATATTTTATACAGAATAATATTGCATACTCACATTAGAATTTTTTTTTTTTTTGGTACTGGGGTTTGAACTCAGGGCCTATACCTCAAGCTGCTCCACCAGCCCTTTTTTGTGATGGGTTTTTTCAAGATAGGGTCTCGCAAACTATTTGCCTGGGCTGGCTTTGAACCACAATCCTCCTGATCTCTGCCTCCCCTTCCACCCCCCGAGTAGCTAGGATTACAGGTGTGAGCTACGGGTACCTGGCTCACATTAGAATTTTTGTGTGAAAATTTAAGGCACTGGCCATCCAATTAGAAAATAATATTGTGAGCTGAGGTATGCAGCCGGCCAGTCAAATCAGCAAATACTTCCCACGCTGGGCCCCTTAATGTCCTGGTCACAATGACCCCATTTGGAACACTGTGTTCCTCTGTACACTCTTGGCTCCTGCCACCTTGAATGACAAACTCCTACTTATTTAGTGACATCTCTACTCCCTTCGCAGTTGTCTGTAACGACTGCTGCATGTTTTAGAATTACTCGAACATCTTGTCTTGGTTCATTTCTTCTCTCCAGATTAGGAATTCCCTGATGGCAGTGTCAAGTTGGTTCTTTGGGATCACAGACCCTGCACATTGTTTGGAAGTCACTGAGCACTGAGCACAAACTTGATAAAGAGACAAGTTACGTACTTTAAAAAAAAAAGCCTAAATAATAAATTAATTAATATCGTGTTGTCTAACCTCTATTGATATAAGAAGTGAAGACTCCAGGAAAGAGAAAATATTAGTCCTCCTTTATCTATCTTCTATCTACACAGAATACTAGAAGTGAGAAATCCGGTCTAGAAAATCCAAAAAAAACCCCAAATCAGCCATCAGGATTTTCTTAGAAGTCTCCTTACTCACAGCTCTGGAATGACTGTCAAAACACTGAAACTTTTCATCATTTCCCACACAAAGCGCTGTCTCAACAGCTGTTCAAGTCAGCTATTTCTGGTGTTAAACAATCTTCAATCGCCTGAGATAAGTAAACCAAATTATGGCCCTCAAAATAACTCTTCTCTGCATCTACCTATTACATAGTTCAGAAGTATCGTGTAATTCGAAAATGCTGTCTTCCAGGAGACTCAGAAAACACGATGAAAGTGTGCAGTGAACCTTCCCCCCAGGCGGCAGGCACTAGGGCTGTGTGCAAGAGCCCTCTCCCTGCACACCTGGAGCGCTGGCTGGGACTGGCACAGGCCAGGGGGCTCTGTGGT